ATTAAAAAAAAAAAAAAAAAAGCCACAGTATACAGTTAAGAGCACCGTGGACTGCTGTAGCTGTTAAAGGAAAAAGAAAACATGCTGTCACAGAGCAGGTGTTGAAAAATTAAACTACTGAGTTCAGGTCAGTATATTTTGAGGCTATAAAACATGGCTGGAAAACCACTTTAATGTTCTTTYATCCAAGCAGAGTGAGTCTATTAAGTGATAAATATCAAAAGGCCAATTCAGCTCTCATTAGTGTGACTGGGAATGCAACTGAGAATTGAATTGGGCTCTAAAAGTCAGATGCTGCTGTCCCTGCCTGGGGTGATGTGATCCTCAGTGACACATTATGACTACCCCAGTCTGAATTGTTTAGTGTCAGGGTGAGTAAAATTTGAATTATATGCCATGTTTAATCCTCAGAACAACAGCAGGACTCGTGGTGTATTGTCTACCTAAAAATGAAAAGGTAGGGTTCAATACCTATTGATTTAAATCAACATTGTTCTGCCTCAATGGCTACTAAACTGCATCTTGAGAAAAATTCTATAGTAATGTTTTATTSCTGGAAAATCAAAGGAGAAAGTGGTGGGGCAAAGGTGTTTTCCACTCTATCTGTCCTTAACTGAAATATGAAATGGTGTTAAAAATTCAAATGCAGTTGGTGAAAGGAAGCAACAGAGAAAAGGTACAGTAAAAGAACCAAAGGAGATTTGCTCATTCGTTGAACAGATGCTGTGTCCTCTTAATAAAGAAATTAGTCAGATCAGTGAAGATTTCAATGAAGCTGGGGTCTGTAGAWGGTCATAGAACCATTTARGTTGGAAAAGACCTTTAAGATCATCGACTAAACTGTAATGATGCAAGTGTGGGCAGGATTCCAGCTGCCTTCAAGGAATAATGAGAATGCCCAGTGCCAAGTCTTGCATCACTCAGGAGTTCAGTGCATCAAACAGAGCTTTTGTGCTCTTACCTTCAGYTCATCAAATACAAAACACAGAAGCCTACCTGCCAGATCTGCTGAATTTGTAACCAGTTCCTGTTCTGGCTGCAGAATAARATTCTCTCCCTGTTGTGATATCCAGTTGCAACCCTGAGACCTCTGAGGGCTGTGTGAGATAATAGGTATGCATTCAATTTTCATTTGACTTACCCAAGGAAAGAAAAAAAACTGCTTGAAAAATTTATCTTCCCTGTAATGCTTTTCATTTCATTCATCAGCCCTCTGCTTCTGAACTGTCTGTGCCTTCCAGCACAACATTTCAGCAGCATCATGGCCCACTTTAGGCAAAACAGCCTTGGAAACACATTAAATGTGACAGCCAGATGTGTTGATCTGTTGATAATGGACACTGAGGTCGTTATTAAGACTCTGCAGTGGAGTGTGAGCTGGGCAGCGTTGGGATTAAATTGCTTCTTCCATATCTGGAGGTGAAAGACCGATGAAGTGTTGGGAGGTGTTATCAACAGAGCTGGAGGCAAGACAAAAAGTGCAAAAAYGACCTTTTCCTCACTTTATTTCTATTCCTGCAAGTTATGAGTGGTGGAGTGCTTCTTAGCACAGTCTTAACTCTGTCCAAATGTATTTGTGTTAATCTAAAAGGGGTCAAAACTCAACCCACACTTATGCTGATGAACCACCAGARTAATTCCACTGTCATGAGCAGAGCTGCTCCTGATTTAGGATAGTGCAATATGAASTAAAAGTTGGCTTAGGATGTCTCTGTGTCATGGTTTACTCCCAGGCTGTAAGATCTGCAAAGATGAGACAGATCTACATGAAAAGTTTCCATTTGGCTTCAGCTAAGATTTTGGGAGTTTCCCTGAGTTTTTAAGACCTCTCTTCCAGGGACACCTTCCTATAGACCAGGCTTCCTAAAGCCCTATCCAACCTGGCCTTGAACGCTGCAAGGGATGGGACACCCACAGTTTCTCTGGGTCACGTGTGCCAGCAGGTTTGCTTTTGTTTCAGCCTGAATGACAGGGACAAAGTCTGCCRGGGGTGATGCAGGATTTTTTTTCCTACCTCACCAAGTGAAAGGCAGGATGGGGAGTCCTCCCTACAGCATTATTGCTGTTTTCTGAGTGGCTCAGCAGGACCTGGACTTGGGAGCTGCTGATCCTGACCCTGTGGCTGCACACAGTTTTCTCTTTGGGGTGTTGGTTTTGTTTTCTTCTGTTCCAGTCAGTATTTTTACCACTGACATGTAGAAATAATGGAGTGTTTGTGACAGTCACACTCTAATCTTCAGATAAACAAATTGTTCCTCTTTCATGGAGCAAAATTGGGGCAGTGACATTTATTTATTGCACTAACTAATTTGAAACACATCCTGCTGACAGTAACAACATGGGCAGGTTTGTATTCCTTAATACCTAATTCCTTAATGCCTACCTAATTTAGCTGCTTCAAATTTATTGGGCTTTTCCTTAGCCATTAAAATAATTGAAAAAAATATGCTCCTTGATATTTAGCTATCATAACAGATCATTGATATAATTGTAAACATTAAATTACATAGCCTGTAAACTGACAAATATTGTTTGATTCGTTCTCATATGAAAGTGTGTTGCAAAATTTTGCAATGTACTATTTTCTGTTACTATAATGGAAGGGGCACAAATAATAATTCTGGTATCTAATATTGGCAGATATTACGAACTTCTAGAGTAGCAAAAAAAAAAAAAAAAGGTGTTTTAAAACCTATTTCTAGATATCCTTCTGTTTTCCAGATATTCTTTTCTCCACAGAATTTTAGCCATTTTGCTTACCTCAGGATGTACAGTACTTAAAAGGCTGATGTTTTGCTTTCATATATTTGAATTTGCATTCTTTTGTAGCAGCATTTSTTATTTTGACATTTGAGAGAAGAGTCCAGAGGAAAATGCAAACCGTGGGCACAGAAACGCTTGAACAATGTCAGAACAAGACTGTGCCTGTTGCACTCACAAAATTGTTGGTTAGTGATTCATTCTGACCTATTAATCAGGGAAAGAACCAAAGCCCCTTTCAGAGGCTATCAGATTGTTCCTCAGTGTTGCATTTGGGACTTGGAGATCAAATTGAAAAAAATCTCACCTAGTGGGGAGAAAACCTTCAGTGATTCAGATGCGGTGAATGCCTGAAGATCTATTCTAGCAAAGGCTGATGCTAACCTATGCTGGTAATCCTCCCCCTCCCAGCCCTTATAACCTTATTTCTTTGTGAATATTGTTGGGTTTTTTTTGCCGATTCATCTAAACTGGGAGCGTTTTTGTAACACGAGTAAAGCAAGCACCTTTCGAAGTGCACGCCTGTAGGGGGAGTGAAATATCAAAGAACTGCTGCAACCGAGGCAGCGCCGCGGATGCAGGACGGACGATCCGCTCTCAGTTTTCGCATCGATTTATAGCCCAGCTCCTCGCAAGAAATAAGGAGGTGTTTACACCAAGAATAGCTTGTGGATAACTTGCTGTCTCTCCCTGAACTAGTGATGCTAGGAGAAGCAGAGCGCTTCGAGGCTGCAAAAGTCCTTCTCCAGGTCCGCAGTGCTGGGGATGGTCGCGGGTGTGAGGCTCCGTTCCTAAAGGAAACAGGGATTTGCGGGAATTATTGGCCCGAGGAATCTCTTTGTGTTAGATGGCGATGTGGAAGAGGAACCAGCTCTTCTTCCTTGCTAATTGCTTTTAGTCGAGATTGACGCTAATGTTTATATATCTCCCTTTTTTCATCATATCCAAAGTACTGGGTGGAACAAACTGCCTTTGACACCTTATCCTTCTACACTCTCCTACTTTTTTTCACCTCTTTTCTCACTTTTTCGACTTTTCTGTGCTGGAAAATGCACTACCGGGATAAATAAACTTTGTAATTTGCTGAGCTGTCACGTGGCTGTGCTGGATTTTACCTTGTCGCTTTCATTGCTATCTCTAGGTTTCTGTTCACGTCCCCGCTTGTATTTAACGGTCAACACACAGGTTAAAAATTGAAACTTTTACTTCCAGCGCCACCGCAGGGAAAAGGAGCTTCCTCGGTTTTTTRGGATGGGGGAAGGCAGTGGGTTTGGGTCGGTCAGTGGGGCAATGGTCGGCCCGAGAGCGCGGTTCCCGTGGGATGCTCCCGCACCCGGCGATGCTCCAGAGGAAGGCGCGGGCGGCAGCAGAGGGCGCTCCCGGCCCGCGGGAGGCGCGTCCCGCCCGCATCCAGCCGGGATAACGGGCCAGCAAGTTCCCTAAGAGCTGCTCCGAAGTGAGCGGCCCCTTCTTGGGGGTACTCGGGGCAGCGCTCCCGCTCCGCCCGGGTCCCCGCTCGCTCCCCGCTCCGGTCGGGCGCATTCCGGCGGGATCCGTGCCCCGTTCCCGGTGTGGCCGGGCGGGCTCCCCTTCCCGCCGCGGGGCCCGGCCCGATCCCAATCCCGGCGGGGCGGCCCCTCAGGTGCGGGGGGCGGGCCGGGGGCGGGGCGGGCGGAGCGGCGGCCAATGGGCGGCTGTGGGGGGAGCCGGCCCGGGCGTCAAGAGGGCCGGGATCCATGAGCGCCGGGCAAAGTTGGGTCCGGGCGGCCGCGGATCACGGACCGGCCCGTGCGCCCGGGCATGCCGGCGGGGAGCGGCGA